AACGTCACACATCCCTTAAAAGAAAACATGTTCATCCAAGTTTGAAGTCCAAACCAATGAAATCAAGGCGCATTCATTCAAGGTGGTATCAACAATACAAAAACAAAATTTACATAAATTTACATGAATTTTGTTTTTCCGTTTGCTTTTTTGCTTTTGGCGGGTGAGCTATGACATCAGTAAAAGCAAAATGAAATCACACGTAAGGCGAATAAAAAAATCAAATCAGCTTTTCTAATAACACCACCTTGTATGAATTCGCCTTGGCTCAAATGTACATATACGCAACTACTATAACTTTAGATTAAAAGCGCAAACAGCAGCATATCAAATTTACTTTTGATAGAGAGAGAGAACCAAAGGTAATGTCACCGCCATGCCAAAGAACGTAGATAACGTAGAACGTTCTTTGGCCATGCTGTGGTGAGTTTTCGTTAACATGCGAGTCCCATTAGGTAGATTGTGTCTGCGTCAATCTACGTCGACGTTACGTCGTTGACTGTTTGAGCTTTAAGGATTTTAATAATTTTTCTCGTGATCTTACCCTATCTAACTCTCGGTTGGGGTGGTCAGTCCTAAACTGGAGAGTCCTGAGTTAAGACTCGCTCTCGGATCACAGGTACATCGAGTACAACTGGGTTGTTGCCAGAATTGTGGCAAATGAAGATGCCCTAAGATATTATATTGAGTATTTTGACAATCTCAAATCGCCTGGTCCAGATGTCATCCTACCTATTGTACTTAAAGAAGGTGTTGAGCTTTTGTTGGCAGGCCTATTTGCAGAGTTGGCAATGCGCTCAATAGGAAAGAATTCGCCTTGGGCATTTTTGTAGACATAGAGGGTGCTTTTGGCAAGGCCACCTTCGACAGCATGTGTAATTCTGCTTTACGGCGTGGATTAGAATCTGTACTGGTAAATTGGATTCGTTCAATGCAGGCGCAGCAGGTCATCAGGAATTAACAAAAGCTGACGATATGACCAGTGTTGCCGTTTTAGCCCTTTGGTGGCTAAATTTGGCTACCAAATTCTTTTTTTGGCCACAAAAATTTGAAATTGCCCCTAGCCCTTTTCAAAATTTATTCATCATTGACATTCAAATTTTTTTTATGATTTTCACGAATTTAACTCTTCGCTCATAAAGCGAACGCCTTTCCTTTAAGGCAAGTAAACATATTTCTATGTATGTTCCTTACGTTTCTGGGCCGTTATCTTATCCGTTAACGATTTAACTATACTTTAAAATAGGTAAGTTGGTGGCCCTTAATATGCTTTATGTGTTACACAAAAAGTTTTTCTGTTGAATAAAATAGTAATTCTTTTCAGAGTTCATTGTTTTTCTATACCAGTAATTATAGAAAATGTTTGCGTGTATACTTACATATTTATACTAGCAGTACCCCGGTGTGCTTCTCTACACCAAATATTGAAAAACGAATGAAAAGTCCTGGAATTTTTCTATATGAAAATTTATCATTTATTTTATTTCAAAATTTTTGTTTCTTTATTTTAAATCTTAATCCAACAGATTTGGATATACAACATCTTTTGTTTTTCCATTTTGGGTATGAATAAATAAACAATTTGGAATTCCAACTCTTGAACAGGCC